TCAGAAACAACAGAAAGCAAATTACAGATTAACAGTGAGGAAAGGAGAACTCAGTCTCTGAACCTCTCTGTCTTGATATCCTATAAGTTGAGAGACCTTTGCAGATCTTTGCATCCAAGTTTGACCGAAGGCAGGCTGGGGATCAGGCTGGCGTGGGGCTTGCGAGCCCCCAGAGAGAGCATGACATGTTAGCTGTGTTTGTTTTCTTGTAAAATCATTCCTGAGTCCTCAAGTCCTCCCTGTCTTTCAGGCATTGTTGCCGCTCTTTTTTCCAAAAAAGACAAATAAAATTGTCTTGCCCCAAATAAACTCATCATTTTGAATGAAACAGTGGCTAATCCCTCATGTCCCTGAGGCCCCGTCTAAATAAAGACACTCATTTTTCAAAAATAAAAATAAAATTGTCATGACAAAAATAAATAAATAACCAACTTTTTTGGGGGGTTACAAAACTTCCTTTAGTCTGAAAGCCTGAATCTTTAAAAGTCTCTTAAAAAATGACCACACCCATCCTAGCCAGACAAGGGCACAGGATGGAAAGGACTCAGTGCTTCCTTGTCACCAGCAGTGGTGGGTGGTGGCAGCTGCCAAAGGGAAGTTGAGTCTCGTGCACAAGGCTTAGCACTTGAAGGCCTCGTCCCTCCTTCTCAGGGGAAGATTTGTCTTACATTCTCAACCTCGGAGCAGTGGGGTTTTATTGTTATTAAGAGAAGCAATGGGGACTTCCCTGGTGGTCCAATGGCTAAGACACTGGGCTCCCAAAGCAGGGGGCCCCGGGTTCCATCCCTGGTCAGGGAACGAGATCCCACATGCTGCAACTAAGACCTGGTGCAGCCAAATACACAAACAAACTAACAAATAAATAAATAAGTGAGGCAATGGTTCCATTCCACGCAGATCACCCAGCATATGGAGCCTTTAGTTATGACCTAAGTCAGCTTCTTCTAGGTGGTGTTCCTTGCTTCTCCCTAGTGGCTTCTACCCAGTCCACTGCTGCATCCCTCCTTGGCATGTCTTAGAGAATAGCTCTACGTGGTACCATTTTTTACCTCCTTGCCATTGTTACAGAGGAAGATTCTTCTGCTAATACGGAGTGTGGGGAGAGTGTGGAGTTAGACACCATAACTTCTCAAGGAAGCTGGAGATGGCTAATTTTATACATCTGCTTGGCTGGGCCATGATGCCCATATATTTGGTCAAACACTATTCTGGATGTTTCGAAGGGTGTTTGGAGATGAAATTAACATTCAATTCTGTGGACTTTGAGTAAAGCAGATTGCCCTAACCCTAGGTGGGTAGGCCTCACCCAATCAGATGAAGGCCTGAATAGAACAAAAAGGCTGATCTTCCCCTGAGAGAGAAGAAATTCTCCAACAGTGACCTCCAGACTTGAACCACAGCATTGGTTCTTCCCTGGGTCTTCAGCCTGGGATAGATATAGATGTGGATATAGGTACAGATACAGATATATATGTAGATGTAGGTATAGGTAAAGATACAGATACAGATTTAGAAAGAGTTGCTAAGCCTTCACTTTTGCCTTTTCTTCGAGCTTGCGTTAACATCCTCACTTCATCATGATCATCATCAAACCATTTCTACCATTAGTTATTTTTCCCACTGATATGGATTCCCTTTATCTCTAGAAATCTTGAGGAAAATGCATTCTCTTTTGTTCTGGAAGCTTCATTTTCACACTATGCCATAAAGCTGCAAACGGAACTCACGGGCCCTAGAAATCAAAGCTTGAACATGAATTAGGAGTTGGTTCTTTGGCAAAGGAGCTCTTCGGTTTGCATTGATTTCATTCTTGTGTAAAGACAACAAACAAACAAAGCATTCAGAAAGCTTTGAAAGACTACACTTTGTTCACTTCCGTTTCAGCCCCCTTTAATCTATCTGGTTTTCTAATTATTTAACATTTACTGAAAACCTGCTCAGAGCCAGGTCCTGTGGTCTCTTTGTGTGGACTTGGATCTGTTGAAAGGATACCAGGGAAGAGCGATCTCTGTTAATCCTGTCGCTCTCAGGGAAAAAAAAATTTTTTTGATTCATACAAACCTAGATTTAAAACCTAGACTGAACTGGCATGCTTTAAGTTATCAGTGAAAGGTCCTTATCATTATAGTATTTCAAGAAAAGTCTATGTTCTGTCTCACTTTGCTTGCCTATTTTGAGGTCATGTTATCTCTTTTCTTTACCAAGTGCAGGGATAGAGACAACTGGGTCAAACTTCCCTTCTTGTTCTTAGGAAGCCCTAGACATGGTTTCCTCTAGTTCAAGGCCCCATACATGAGAATAAAAATATCATAACCACCATTTAGTTCCTCTCTATATTAGCTCCCTTCCGTGATGACAGTGTTCCTTCTTTTACAAGTAAGTGAACCGCGGCTCTGAAATATTAGATAATTTGTGTCATGAAATGTGACAAAGCTGGAATACAACCCAGGTTTTTTCAGCTCTTTAAGCCCACACTTTTGTTACTTTCTACTTTCTAGGATTCCCAAATGATAAATGGTAATTTTATTGCCGTATAGACTCTGTGAATCCAAGAAGCTGGAGGACTGCAATGTTCTCTCTTGAACTGATGTCTGCACGATGCTCTGAGGCCCACCCCATAAACAAATAAGCTTCTATTAACTTTTTCCTCCATAACAAGAACTATCCCTTCTGTGACCTATATCCACCCCAAGACCAATCTGATCATCTTGATTGTTTAACTAACAGGAAGCTGAGGATGAGGGATATTCTAAAATTGGTCAAAAACCACATTGTTAACAAATGGATGAATATAGATATATCCATGGATGTATGTGTGACTGAATCACTTTGCTGTACACCTGAAACTAACACAATATTGTAAATCGACTATACTTAATAAATTTAAAAAATGGAGAAATCAGGATTCAAACACTAAATTCAGACATATTTTAAAGGTCGCACATTCTTTTTACCCAAGAAGGACATCGAGAAGGGGGGATGTTTTGGACCTCTTTGGACTGTGGCATACACACAGTCCAGGCAGTTAAGACAGCCTGGGCTTATTGATACCAAATTAGGGCAGTTAGAAAAGCAAAGTAAAGAGAAATAAATATATCCATGCTCATTTTATGAGTTTCACAGTCGACTTTTCAAACACAAGGACAACCTGCGGAGTGAAAAGGCTTTTGGAGTGATGAGAGCCTCGGTCTTCTGAGCTGCAACTCTGACTTAAACGGTAGGCAGAGAGGACCTCGTCAGACCCAGAGTTTCCCTTGGTCCACTCAGACCAGATGCTCTTGGCCCCTTCATGCCCACCTCCCCATTTTTTTGGCAAGGCCATGCCCTGGGAGGACGTGGGGCAGTAGGAGCCTTCCTGGCACCCCCAAGAAATATACTGGTTCGTGACTTCTTCTTTTTTTTTTTTTTTTAGACATTGCGGGTAGGAGTTTAGTAATTTATTTATTTATTTTTGCTGTGTTGGGTCTTCGTTTCTGTGCGAGGGCTTTCTCTAGTTGTGGCGAGCGGGGGCCAGTCTTCATTGCGTTGCGCGGGCCTCTCACTATCGCGGCCTCTCTTGTTGCGGAGCACAGGCTCCAGATGCACAGGCTCAGTAGTTGTGGCTCACGGGCCTAGCTGCTCCGCGGCATGTGGGATCCTCCCAGACCAGGGCTCGAACCGGTGTCCTCTGCATTAGCAGGCAGATTCTCAACCACTGCGCCACCAGGGAAGCCCATTCGTGGCTTCTTACCAAGGGCCCTGGGCATTGAGGAGAGTCCAGAAACCCCTGCCCCGCCCCCCATTGCACTGAAGAGTGGAGATTGTGCCTACACCTCTGGGCAGATGCTCTGAGCCGGTCTGGCAGTCGCCCAACGTTCCTGGGGGCTGTGGGAATAAGTCAGTACTTCTCCAGGTGGCGCGATAGGACCTGGAGGGCTGAGCATCTTTTCTGGCTTAGACAGGATGAGGCATGCTGCGGGCTCCATTAGACCACTACCCACGTAGGGAGGGGGACGGCTTAGCAGATGCTAACTTGCCCACCTGCCCGATGATCAGGTGCCTCTCCCTGATGCTGTGATATAGATCAGCCCTCCGGAATTTAGAATTAGCCCAGGGACATGTGTGTGCACAGTGAGGGCAACGCTAAATTAATGGAATTCATCCTAAGGTTAACGTTTTCTAGTTTTCTACTGCCAGGTGGAGTGAGATCTTGAGATATAAACCAAGTCAATAAAAAGTAACATTTATCTGCACACGACACATGTGGATTTCCCATGTATTCCCATTTCACTCGTTTACTTCCAAAGGGTCAACTCATTCATTTTACAGATACAAACTTTCAGCGTAAGGAGAAAGAATCATTCTTCTAAAAAGAAAGAAAGAAACCAAAATAGAAAGTACAAATTTCTGAACCTTGTGGCTAAGCCTCACCCGTTCCCATATCATTAACTTCTCGTTTCCACACTGGTGATTTCAGAATCTTATCATCAGCTTCCTCTTCCCTTCACATCTCCACTGGAGCATCTCCGAACTTCTGCCCCCAAATTCTGCACACGTGGGGAGAGAGGACTGTAAAATCCCTGCTGTAACCCCTAAGCCAGGACTCAGTATGGGCTGAAGTGAACCAACGAATGCAGGAATTTTTAAATTTTTTTTTTTTTTGAGAAATCAGCAAGGTGATCTGTCCACAAGCAATTTTATTTGATTTGTGAAATTATGTTGGTCTTCTAGAATAGGGGTACACTCATTCCTCCGTGGGGTTCTGAATGAGGGGCTCTCCAGAGCTGTTTGCTATTAACCAGTGATCAGGGAGGGAAAGACAAGTTCCTGGCCATGAAAATTCTCTCAACATAGGAGAAGATGGTGTTCTGTGCAGCGAGAACATGAACAGGTCTGAGGTCCCTTTCAGATTATTCCAGACAGAACCCTCATCCTCATTCTCCAGGCCCACCTGCTGTCCAATGAAAGGAGGATAAGGAAAGACCTGTGTGGTTTGCATTGCTGGGGAGAAGGGCAGTCTCTTAGCCACTTTGGTGGAGAATCGCCTCTATGGTCTTATCCCTGACACTCTTCAGGAATCTCACGACTGCCGTTCCGCCTGTGCCCCTCTCTTCTAAGGCCTGAGGTGGCCCCAGGAGATGGCTCGTCTTCCTGCCCTTTGCTTTGGGTGCGGCCGTGATGAGGTACTTGGTCACCATAGCGAGGTGGTAGCTGCGCAGGGCTGCCAGGGCCTCCACGCACTGGTTATAGGCTGTCAGAAGCTGGCTGTTTCCAGAGGACAGGATGTGGTCCCTCAGGGAAGGAGCAGAGTGAATTTCTTCTATGAAGGCCCTATGGGAAGGAGGCATGTAACCCCTCATTCTGTGCAGAAAATCAGCTGAAAGAAACAAGGCAGAACAATGTCATAAAACAAGGCAGAACGATGCTATAGCTCCACGTGGAAAGGTAAGAGAGCCTGTCTGCCTTCCCAGACATCAACACAGCAAATGCTGTTGCTGTTCTCCTAACTGCTCATCCTAATAGCGTCTAATCAACTTGGCTGGCTCTTTTGCATACAGACATCAAATCCTCCAAATGTAGATTGGAGATGAGGCAGGAAAAGAAGCAGCCCACCACAAATAACTAAGATGGAACTAGCTGTACCAGCCAAGGTATAAATATTTGTCATCTACCAAATGTGGGCAACATATCTTTCTAGTTACACATGAGGTATATCTACAAATGTAAGGCATGGACCCTTAAACTGATGAGCTGAATACTCTGCTAAATTTTGTTTCCTGAGTGCTTCGTTTTGGAGGGAGTGCTAAGGAAGAGGAAAGTAATGGAGTTTCTAAGGACAGGAAGATAAAGAATGATCAGCTGTTTTAGTAACAGCCTCTTGAAGTCAAATTGTTTAAAAATCAAATCAATAGATATTTATGGGAAATACAGGTAGACGAGAGATCATTTATAAGAAACTCATTATGGGATTAATATTAGGCATGGTACGTCAACTACCAACCTCATCAAATCAAAAGTCCGTGAAAAGTGATCATGGTTCTATAGAACAGACTTTTGTGGATGAGACTGGACCCTATGACACCAAATTCTAGTCATTTATTTTTTCTTAATCCCACTTGAAAACTCTGTACCAAGAACTGCCTTTTTGCAGCTGTTGAACATTAGGCTTGATGCCGGCAGATAAAGAAAAGAGCCATTTCAAGCTTGTAAAATGGCAGAACCCCTCTTCTGGTCTACATAGCCTTGGCTTGAGGCCACACCATTTGTACGGAATGGGCTTCAGGGGAGGAGCCCATCCCCATCCCCAGCTGCATCCAGACTTGGCAACATAGTATCACAGCCCTGGATCTGCAGATCTCTCCCCCACTCTACAGAAGCAAGCTACTGCCTGAGGACCCAAACAAAGTTACAGGGAACAGTTGGAAATATAGGAATGTTTTAAGATTTGGAAATAAAACCCGATATTCAGCTGAGCTCTGATACTAATTAGCTTGACAGTCCCAGATGGCAGGTGCACAGTCTCCTGGTTGATCTGGAGAAGTATAGACTTCCTGAGAGTTTCATTTACACTTGGACATATCAGTTGATAAAAACACCACTGTTCTTTCTCCCTGTTAAGGAAAAAACAAGAAAAAGAAAAACGTCCAACTTACCACTTTCCTTGCTGTGACGAACACCCAAGAATTCATCAAAGGCATGCAGCACTGTGCTCTGAGCAGCGCTCGCGCCGGAGTAATGCAGGGGCTCTTTGGAGACGCCTTCATATAACAACCCCGCAGGCATTGCTGGGTTATCCTTCCAGCTAGGCAAGAGTAAAAGTCAGAGAGAAGAAGTGGGTGCTAGGAGTTAAGAGTATATTTTCTGATATGGAAACAGAGATTGAGCGAGAAAGTGAACACAATTTCAATGGCAACTTTAGGGCAAGAGGCTGGATACCTTTGTAGGATGCGTACTTAAGCATTATCTTGACCCAACCTCTAAACAGGCCAGCCCTTCTCTTTGCTCATATAAAGGACTGTTCCAGAGAAGTAAAAGATATTTAGAGAGAAATCGTTGGCATTGGTCCTATGACATGTTTTTTGGAAAAATTCAACTATAAAGATGATGTCAGTGCTGATCAACAGGAACCATTAACATAGGGGACCTGGAACAATCTTCACTCCCTCTGCTAATCTCTACCTTGATGACCTTGATGCCCGTAACTCCACAAGTAGAGTTTTGAAAATACATGCGCGTGCACACACACACACACACCCCCCAATCACTGACACAAACACACAAATATACATACAAATATACCCACATCTTTTCCCTTCCCTAAAAGTTATAGCTATAACAGTTTTCACATTAAACTTCAGTTCTAAATACTACCTAACTTCATGGGAATGCTTTTATCAGATAGTTTGTTGATGGCAGGTGTTAATAATAAGGGTAGCAGCAAAGAGAACACAATACAGCCATGCAGGTCACCAGAATCTACAGTCAAGGACAGGAGGAAGGACCGGAATTAAGCCTCAGGTTAAATGGTTTTTCCTTCCTTCTCTCTCCTCTCTTCTCTTCTTTTCTCTCCTCTTCTGTCGTCCTGATTCCACGTCTTCATCTTTTTGTCCTTGAGTCCCCCTCTTCCTGAGGACCCAAGCCACTTTACTCAGTTCGCTGTCTGACTTTTTATAGGGTCTTGAACAGTCTCAGAGTGTATGTGGGTGACTCCACAATAAGACAGTCAGCAGCGCCAAGAACACACCACATCTGCCCTTACAATGCTTTACAGTTTACATATCACATTCACATCCATTTTCTTGTTTGTCCACTTTGGAGTAGATCAAGGCAGGCATTTTAAAATCCATTTTACAGATAAAGAAATAAAGACTCAAGGCACTAAGTCTCTAGGACCACATTGTTAGAGAGAGAGGGAACCAGAACTTGACCCCCAAACTTGTCATTTTCTAGTTTCACTTCCCAAGACCACCCACGTGTAAATGTCTACTTTTACTAAAGGACAGAATCTTTCTCTTTTATTGCCGGGAACCCTGTTGTTAAGGGTTTTAAATAACAGGCTTATGTTGATGTCTCTCCTTCTTCCTGTAATTCTACAAGCCACTCTGCTGGAGAGAAGGGAAACACACGCGGCACGCACACACAAAAGCCGCAGACAGACTGCTCATCTCGCATCCATGACCTTTTCCAAATACTTCCCTGAGGTAGGAAATGCTATTGTTTTCTTTGGGGGCTGTTTTGTGTTGCCTGTTCTGTGGTTTCACTGGATGAATATCGTAGTGGCCTTTGCAGTTGGAGCAATATTACTATGGAAAGGGATGACATACGCACAGCAGGACAGGGGACAAGTTGGAGGAAACCAGGGAGGATTCTAAGATCACAACCTGCTGTAGCTCTTAGGAGAGAGCGCTCTATCTTAAGCAGATATGGAATGGAGTCTCAGCTTTGATACTTAGTAACTCTGAGCCTTGGGTGAGTTAATTAACTTCCTGGAGCGTCAGTTTCCTCATCCCAGTAATATTAGTATCTACCTTACTGGGTTGTGAGAACTAATTAAAATAATACCTGGTCCGTGCCTGAAAACTATTAAGCATTTGATAAATATTAGCCATTTTATCATATTATTCACAGTGAATTTTAACCTCTGCTCCCTCCTTTTGTAACTTTGTACAAACCCTTCTGAGTCTCAGTTCTCCTGACTTGTACCTACTTCCTGAAGCTGCTGGAAGAATCAAGTGGATTCCACAAAGGTCTACTGACTCCGCAGAGTTCAGGACACTGGTCCAATAAAATTTCTAAGCAACATTTTACGGGGCAGAAATATTGAAGACCAGACCACTATTGTGTGGTAAGTGGACCAAACACAATGGCTGTACTGGTTCAGATTTTTTCTCTGTAATCCTGTTGATGGTCTCATATAGTCACCTTGGTCTCCTTCCCTTCACGACCACTTATAAGTGCTGGACACTCTCAGGACTCATTCCTTGGGCTTCTCACTACTCTCACTTCCCAAGTGATCTCATCTAAGTCTCTTGGATTTCAAAGCCAACTATATTAGGATTATTGACAAATGTGCACCTGGACCTGGATCTCTGCCCTATATTCCAGAGACACGTATTCAACTGCCTACTAACATCTCCATGGGAGGGGACACATCCCAAACTGACCTCTCGATTCCCCCTTCCTTTTGCCAGACCTGCCCCTCCCATGTCTCCACCTTCAGAGAAAGGAAAATGGCAGCTCCATTCTTTCCATGGACCCGGCCACACACCTCGAGTCCTCTCTGAAGGACCTCATTCTCTTCCATTCTACGTGCAATCCAAGAGCAGATAACTTCAGTCCACATCCAGAACTGCCTGTTTCTCAAGGCCTCTTCTGCTCCTGCCTAGTCCAGGCCACCACCCTGGACTGTAGTCAGAGTTTCTTAGGTGCGTTCCTCAGTCCATTCTATTCCCCACTCAGAAGACAGAGTGGCGATTTGCGACTTCACGCAGCTCGTGTTATTCTTCTCAAAACTTGCCTGTGGTGCTCACCCCACTCAGAAAAGAAGCCAACGAACCTCTACGTGATCTGGTCCCCCCATCGCTGTATTTCTCATTCCCCCCACATTTACTCCATGCGAGCACTGCTGGGCTCGGTGCAGCTCTTCCTCCAAAAGTGCTTCCACCCCAGGGTCATTATGATGCTTGTTCCTTTCAGGCAGAGCAGGCACCTGGGTGGTTTGCTACTCTTCCTCACCTCCTTCACATATCTGCTTAAGCATCCTTTAGAAATGTGGCATTCGCAGATCACAATAAATAAATAAGAACTTCGGCTACCACCCCTAACACTCCATAATGCTCTATTATCCTACTTTAAAGTTTCCTGTATCTCTTCTTATTGTAACACATCGAGTATGGTATTGCCTTTGTTATATTTATTTATTCATTATCTGTCTCCCGTGATTAAAATGTAAGCTCCACAGAAGTGAAGTTGCTGTTTTTACTACTCCATTCCCAGCACCTAGAACTGTGCCTGGCATTTTGTCAGCCCTCGCGAAATATTTGGTCAATGAATGAATGAAACAATAGCACTCTATAATTAGGTATTATCTACGTAGAATACGTAAATCCAAGTGTATTTGTTGAAAGGACCTGGACAGCTTAAAAGATGATAGAGGAAAAAAGAGCATGAAATATAGCAGAGGGAGGAACACTCCCCAACTCATTCTACAAGGCCACCATCACCCTGATTCCAAAACCAGACAAGGATGTCACAAAGAAAGAAAACTACAGGCCAATATCACTGATGAACATAGATGCAAAAATCCTCAACAAAATACTAGCAAACAGAATCCAACAGCACATTAAACGGATCATACACCATGATCAAGTGGGGTTTATTCCAGGAATGCAAGGATTCTTCAATATACGCAAATCAATCAATGTGATACACCATATTAACAAATTGAAGGAGAAAAACCATATGATCATCTCAATAGATGCAGAGAAAGCTTTTGACAAAATTCAACACCCATTTATGATAAAAACCCTGCAGAAAGTAGGTATAGAGGGAACTTTCCTCAACATAATAAAGGCCATATATGACAAACCCACAGCCAACATCGTCCTCAATGGTGAAAAACTGAAAGCATTTCCACTAAGATCAGGAACAAGACAAGGTTGCCCACTCTCACCACTCTTATTCAACATAGTTTTGGAAGTTTTAGCCACAGCAATCAGAGAAGAAAAGGAAATAAAAGGAATCCAAATCGGAAAAGAAGAAGTAAAGCTGTCACTGTTTGCAGATGACATGATACTATACATAGAGAATCCTAAAGATGCTACCAGAAAACTACTAGAGCTAATCAATGAATTTGGTAAAGTAGCAGGATACAAAATTAATGCACAGAAATCTCTGGCATTCCTATATACTAACGATGAAAAATCTGAAAGTGAAATCAAGAAAACACTCCCATTTACCATTGCAACAAAAAGAATAAAATATCTAGGAATAAACCTACCTAAGGAGACAAAAGACCTGTATGCAGAAAATTATAAGACACTGATGAAAGAAATTAAAGATGATACAAACAGATGGAGAGATATACCATGTTCTTGGATTGGAAGAATCAACATTGTGAAAATGACTCTACTCCCCAAAGCAATCTATAGATTCAATGCAATCCCTATCAAACTACCACTGGCATTTTTCACAGAACTAGAACAAAAAATTTCACAATTTGTATGGAAACACAAAAGACCCCGAATAGCCAAAGCAATCTTGAGAACAAAAAATGGAGCTGGAGGAATCAGGCTGCCTGACTTCAGACTATACTACAAAGCTACAGTAATCAAGACAGTATGGTACTGGCACAAAAACAGAAAGATAGATCAATGGAATAGGATAGAAAGCCCAGAGATAAACCCATGCACATATGGTCACCTTATCTTTGATAAAGGTGGCAGGAATATACAGTGGAGAAAGGACAGCCCCTTCAATAAGTGGTGCTGGGAAAACTGGACAGGTACATGTAAAAGTATGAGATTAGATCACTCCCTAACACCATACACAAAAATAAGCTCAAAATGGATTAAAGACCTAAATGTAAGGCCAGAAACTATCAAACTCTTAGAGGAAAACATAGGCAGAACACTCTATGACATAAATCACAGCAAGATCCTTCTTGACCCATCTCCTAGAGTAATGGAGATAAAAACAAAAATAAACAAATGGGACCTAATGAAACTTCAAAGCTTTTGCACAGCAAAGGAAACCATAAACAAGACCAAAAGACAGCCCTCAGAATGGGAGGATGAATGGATAAAGAAGATGTGGCACATATATACAATGGAATATTACTCAGCCATAAAAAGAAACGAAATTGAGCTATTTGTAATGAGGTGGATAGACCTAGAGTCTGTCATACAGAGTGAAGTAAGTCAGAAAGAGAGAGACAAATACCGTATGCTAACACATATATATGGAATTTAAGGAAAAAAATGTCATGAAGAACCTAGGGGTGAAACAGGAATAAAGACACAGACTTACTAGAGAATGGACTTGAGGATATGGGGATGGGGAAGGGTAAACTGTGACAAAGACAGAGAGAGGCATGGACATATATACACTACCAAACGTAAGGTAGATAGCTAGTGGGAAGCAGCCACGTAGCACAGGGAGATCAGCTTGGTGCTTTGTGACCGCCTGGAGGGGTGGGCTAGGGAGGGTGGGAGGGAGGGAGATGCAAGCGGGAAGAGATATGGGAACATATGTATATATATAACTGATTCATTTTTTTGTGAAGCTGAAACTAACATACCATTGTAAAGCAATTATACTCCAATAAAGATGTTAAAATAAATAAATAAAAGGAAGGCATCTACTTTCAAAACCTATATTTTCCACCTATGATGAGATTAATATGAGGAAGAAAAATTGGGTTTCTCTGAATAGCCCAAGGATTGCTCCCATGCATTCTCAGGCCCAAACTGCTGTTTGTGAAGAAAAGGAATTAGTTTCCTTACAAATCTCTGTAGGCAAGTTTATTTTTAACATTTCTTGTAGCATATTTCTAGCAAACCCCAGAAAAGGGGAAGTTTAAACAGAAAAAAAAAGAAAGGAAAAGAGATGACTTTTATCCATAGGGGCTAACTTCCCTGAGAAATTTGACGTGAGTGAGAAATAAAGGGACTATGTTTCATGTACAGATGGAATTTCTTAATGCTCTTAAATAAAAATGTTTCTTTTTAAAGTCAACAAAAATAATGAGTCAAGCATAAGACAAATCAAGAACACAGGAGCAGATTTAGATTTTTGAAGACAACCCTACTGGGAACTCTCAACAATCCAGATGCTTCTGGCCTCCAACACATTTAGGATTGGCTACTGGCCACTTAGTTTAGCTATGTGGGAAACAATTTTGAGGATCAGAAATAGAAAAGAGGAATTTATGTAGATCACAGATAAAATGCATCACTGACCCAGAACTTATCTTAAGGAAAATGAAGTCACCCTTTGGTATCCATTTAACTATGATAGATGGAATTCTAAAAACATTGTCCCAAGATTCCCATTCTAACTCCTAGAACTATTAATGTGATAAGACAGCATGTCTGTCGATATGATATATTATAAGGCAAGGCAAAAGGGACCTTGCAGGTGTAATTAAGGTCACTAATGAGAGACCTTAACATAGACAGTTATCCTGGATTATCTAGGGGAGATTAATCTAATCACACAAGACCTTAAAAGCAGGGAGTTTTCTCTGGCTGATGACAGAAGGAGAACTCTGAGAGATCTGAATTACCAGAAGGATTGGAAATATCATTGCTGACTTGGAAAGGATACTGGAGGCTTCTAGATGCTGACAGCAGATTCTGCCAGGAAAGCATGAGAGACCTCAGTTCCCAGCCCACAAAGAGCTGATTCTATCAAAGACCTGAATGAGTTTGGAAGTGAATTCTCCCCTAGATTCTCCAGATAAGAGCTCAAGCCCAGCAGATCCCGACTTCAGCCTTTTGAGACCCTAAACAGAGAACCAAGCCAAGCTCACCCAGACTTGTAACCTACAGGAATGTGAGATAATAAATGAGCCTTGCTAAGTTGTGGTAATTTCGTATGGAACAGTGGCAACTAACCCAAACTCAGAGGGCAGACTGAAGCACGAGGAGATTTTCCAGAATTAGGTCTTCCTAAAACGCAGTCTGTTTAAAACGTTTTGGAAAAATGGCCCTTTTGTTCTCCCCTCTAATCCTACCAAAGCCTATCTGCATATTTTGCTTAATATTTGTTGCTAGAATCTCTATTTTACGATCAGATCTTTGTATTGACCCTGACTACATGCAAAAGATACAGAGAGCAAAAAGAGTTCTACAGGATGAATAATCCCTTTGTCGGGGTTTCAGGAGTGAAGGGTACATAGGAAGGTCTAAATTCTGAGATATGCTCTCAATTCCATTCCTTTGCTCTTCCCCTTTCCTTCTCTTTTCCCCATAAACCAGGTACCTATTACTCTCAAGTTATTCCCTAGAAACTTTGCTTCCACTCACCACCCCTACAATGAGGGGTCCCCAGCCAGGCTGGCCTCCCCTGAGACTGTCTCACACTACAGACCTACCCAGTCTAGAGAAAATACTTAATACACATGGTCACTCCCTTCGTGCACCCATGGAATATACCACTAAATCTACTGATGAATCGGTACATCTATTGATGTTGGAATTCGGCATGACTCTTGCTACATCCAGACACAACTTCATATGCTTCCTACCAACAGCGTTTCAGGCACCTCCTAGTTATCAAGATGGTGCTCTAGGTGATGTCTATTTCACATTTTCACCTCTTCCCTCCATCACCTCCACCTTTCACTCTTCACCATTAAAACAAAAACAAAAACTTAGTTTCTCTCAGTTAATGTGAATAGGAAAGCAATCTCATTAAAACACGTCACGTTATGACAAATGTATTCAAAATAAGACATGTATCTAAGAGTAGAGTTCTCTATCTGGAGAAATTGCAGGCCAGGTGACCAAAGAAGAATACCAGAAATATGAAAAACTGTCTTTGGGGTATTAGCTATTCCAGGAATGTTAGAAGGAAGCTTTTAAGCTACTGCCTATGCCTCCACCTGCGTGCATAAGAGGCAGGAGAAAGGATATACATAATCGAGCTTTGTGGGTGGCGCACTGGGCTTTTTTCCCCTCTGTCATCCAGTGGTTTTCTAAGAAAGATGAGTACACTGAATCGAAAGTGATGGCCTCAGGACAATTACTCTACACTTAAATATTCAATCCTTCAGTGTCATTTGTCATGCAAATGATACCCCACTTCTTTTATCCAAGAATGGATCCAGGTGATTCCTTTGTTAGCAAGGGTTACTTGGTGTGTTTCTTCCTCTGGGAAGCTTCTGTCTGTTTCTCCCCTCATAAATCTGGGAAAGGCTACAGATGCCTCATGCAGGAAAGAGCTGAACTGTACTTACCCAGAGAAGAACATCCGGATGACTGTGTAAAATGTGTCTGGATCTACATAATCTAGAGGAGCAATCAAAATGTGGACTTTACTACAGGCAAAAAAAGCAATTGGTTCCATATGCACGGGCTCTGCTGCCTCCCAGGACACCCCCTCTATCTGATCTGCACAGAAACCTGGAGGGAACACAGCAGCAGGAGGGGGAGGAATGTTCCCTTCTGTCTCCCCCCTCGCTGGCGCTGACGGGAGGGATAAACGGTTCCAAATGCTGCCTTTTTCTATTTGTGGTTACTTCCCTCTTGTGCTCTTAACAACAATCACCAAAAAGAGAGGTCAAGGCCATCTTTTAAAAATTAGTATTTTAAACAGACAGAGAGAATGAAAGAATGTGGGAAGCAGAAAGGAGAAAAGCAGAGAGAAAGAATCTGCTCTCTTCAAGGCTTTCAGAAGAGAGGACCACTGAACCCCCGGGTGCATTTCTGTGTAGTCAACAAAGGGCAGAGAGTGGAGGATCCTCTGCTCAGGCCCTGCCACACTTGGTCGGACACAGGCTCACTCATTAGTCCGTGCAGCTCGTTGTGTGTGTGTGTGTGTGTGTTGTTGTTGTTTCTGTTTTGGGGGGTTTTTCTTTTGACGGCGCCACATGTGGGACCTTAGTTCCCCAACCAGGGATCCAACCCATGGCCTCTGCATTGGAAGCACCTAGTCTTAACCACTGGACCACAGGGAAGTCCCTGTGAAGCTCATTTTGAATCTAAGCCAATGCGTGGGGATAATTGATCCCACTAGCTTATTAACTTGTGTGTGTAAAGAAGCACGTCCTCACATTTGCACCGAATTTCTTTTCCTCCACTTTTGAACGTTATTCTCTCTTCTTCTCACAATGGGGCCCCTCTGGGAGCTGACATGTTTCTCTCATCCAGATTCCTGTCTATGTCTCTTTGTCTCGGAGAAAACAAGAAACATCTTTTTGATGAGACCTAAATAATGGCATCTCTATACCATCAATTTACCTTTTCCACCATCACACCTGATCTCTGGTCTTCCATCTCTGTCTTCTCTGAAGCCCCCTGGGCTCAGGTAACTCACATCTCCCATCAGCCTCAGGGCTTCCCAGGGCCCCTGAGGGCTGTCACATCCTCCCTGCTCATTTGCGACACCATCCCATGTGCTGGACTTTTCTCTGGGCCCTATTTCTGGGTCTTTCCCATTTGGTGCTCTGTTCCCACAAATGTGCTAAGTACTGTGTACAAATTTTTGCTGAAGCAGTAATGACTGGAGATAATTTAATGTTTTACCCAACTTATCATATTTAAGGAGGAAAAGCCAAATGATTATTTCAGTAAATGTGAGATAAATTTTTTTTATTTTTTTGGCTGTACCACATGGCTTGCAGAATCTTAGTTCCCGGATCAGGAACTGAATCCAGGCCCTCGGCAGTGAAAGCACAGAGTCCTAACCACTGGACTGCCAGGGAATTCCCAAATGTCAGATAAGTGTGATGTAAAATTTTCAATAGATATAAAAAAATCCATTCATGATTAAAACAAACAAAAAATTTTAGCTAATTAGGAATAGGAGGGAACATCCTTAATCTGATAAAAGGAATCCACAGAAAGCCTCCAGTGCATATTATAGTTAACATTGAAACATTAAAAATGTCTTTTAAAATGTCGGACAAAACCAAGTATCAGCACGTCCATTCAACACTGTGTTAGGCATCCCCTCGCCTGAAGAATAAGAATAAAAATTGAAAGAAAAAAGTTATAAGTATTTAAATGAAAAAACAAAACAATGTTATTCTCAAATAATATGATTTCTACAAAGAAAACCTAGATAATCAACAGATCATCATTAGAATTAATAAGAGTGTTTATCAAAGTGCTAGATTCAAGGTTCATACTAAATATCAATTTCATTCTATAAACCAAGAACAAACAGGAATTAGTTCAATCAAAAGATGCCATATTGGCTAGAAACAAAAATATAAAGTAACTATGAATAAAGCAGAATATATCTAAATCTCTTATGTTGAAATAAGTCAAAGTAATGTAAGAAAATGTGTCTTTGTTCATGAACAAGAAAACTCAGTATCAGTATCCAGGAAAATAAATGTATCTAAAGAAGAGTTTTTTTGTTTTGTTTTGTTTTTATTGTACATTCAAATATTTAATGTAATTACTGATATATTTTGGTTATATATACACTTTTATTTATTTTGTCTTTGTCTCCTATTCTCTGTTCCCTTTTTTCTTCTTTTTTGACTTTCATGAAAAAAATGCTTTAAATTATTTTATTTCCCCCCTTATTATCATTAGTTTCCCCCTCTTAATGCTATTCTTTTAGTGGTCATTCTTGAGATTACAACAGATATCTTTGATTCAATAGATCTACGAAATTTAGTACTTTTACCACTTCCCAATCAATACAAGGTCTGTATAGAAAGAATATTTTATCCTATTTAACCCCTTTGCCTTTTGTGCTATTGTTATCACTTATTTTATTTCTACGTACATTTTAAACCTACATTATTATTGTATAAATTCAATAATCATTTGAATTTAACCACATAGTTACTGTCTCTTGCTCTTCATTCTGTCCTGTGTTTCTGTGCTTACATCTGGAATCTTTGTACTTTTGCCCGAAGAACTCAATTGAATATTTATTTTAGTGTGGGTCCTTTGGCAATAAGTTTTCAGAGTTTTTATTTGCCTGAAAATATCTTTGTTTTAATTTCAAATTTGAAAGATATTTTGGCTAGGTGTGTAATGCCAAATTGGAAGTTATTTTCTTTCTGCACTTCAGTGGTATCATTCCATTTTCTTGGTTTCTTTTTCTCTGTTGATAAGTCTTCTTATTTCTTTAAAGAAGAGTTTTCTATCTGGATAAATTTCAGGCCACGTGGGAAGAGAACACCCAGCAATATGACATGATTCCGAGAGCATGTTAATGTCTTTACGTTAGTCTCCACCTGTCCATCTGCCCTGATCAGAGGACAGAAGGACCAGATAGAATATCAAAATCAGGTAATTTTTCTCCAAATTAATATACAGATTTAATGCCATTTGAGCAAAATTCTTAACAGAATTTTTTATTGGGATTTGACAAGCTGATTCTAAGTTTATATGAAAAGCAAAGGGTCAAAGACAGGACGTGCACAAAGGGTCAAAGACAGGATGCGCGCCCCTGGAGAACAGCAAGGTGAGGGGGATTTTCTCTCCCTGAAAATGGGAAATACTATGAAGCTATGGTTCATTTAAGACAGATGGCTTTCGTGGGGGGAAAGACAAACAGATGATGAAACGGAATAGGGGGTCTGGAAAGAGATCCAATCATTTAAGAAAATCTGATGTAAGACACTGTCAATATTGTAGGTTAGTGATTATTCACAGAAGGGAAATTGAATTTATTTCCTACGTCATACTTATAGAGATAATAATTATATGTGTATTAAGGGGTGAAAGGTGAAAGACAAACAACATCAACTACAGAAAAAAATGTAGAAAAATATATCTATGACCTCTGATTATGAAGTTATATCTTATGCCAGACTTCCTCAAAATAAACTGTTACAAAGAAACTATAAATACTTTGACTATATTTAAATTAAGAATTTCTGCTTTCAAAAGGCAGAATGAGACAAACCACAACATTTGCAATCCATAACCAACAAAGATCACCCTCCAGAGGGCACCCAAAAACTTATTAAAGGCAATGAGTAAAAGATAAAAGACATTTCCAAAAATAAGGAAAGCCATGCATTTCACAAATCAGGGACACACGCGATGAGCACGCAGGAGCACAGGCCCTTCCACCCCCATCCCAGACACACAGACAGTTAACTCATTAGAAAACAGGGAAATGCAACAGTGACATCATCAGCATGGCAGAATAAGGGTTTTCTACTGCCTTCCCCCCAAAGAACATTGTTGTAGACAGTCACCCGTGGATAAGACAGCCTTTGTGGAAGTCCAGGAGTCCAGCGAAAGCTTCCAGAACACCACTGGAGCAAAAAAAAAAAATCTAAGAGTGGATGCACTGAAGAGGGTAAGAAGAATATTTCACTTTACCCACATCACCCCTTCCCCAGGGCAGCACAGCACAGGGCCAAGAGAGACCTTCTTGGCACACTCCTGAGGGTGGCAAGAGTGAGCCTTTGCAGATAGGTAGCGAGCAAGTACAGCGGGACTCTGTGGGATTGGGAGAAAGCAAACACACTTGAGAGTTTAGCACTGCCCTAGGGGAAGCAAAGGAAGAATATCAGCTCCTGACCTGGCTTTGCAGGATCAAAAGAAGGCATGCACGACGATGAGTACCAGAAATACTGCCACAAGAGGGAGCAAAAAGACTGGAGCAGGTGTATCCATAGAAAGTGTAAAAACGCCTCAGAATCCCTACCAGGGCTGATGGAAAGTATTTCTCTCCCTAAACCAGGTAGAGAACACCTATTAACGTGGGGCTGGTGAAGGACAAGAGCCACATAAAAACTCTTGCTTGTGGATCTGATGTATGTACACTTGGGCTAAGAAGGGCAGTTCCTGAAAGCCAGTGTCATTATCCTCCAGGGAGCATAGAAGACCCAAGAAGACACCTGAGTTATGTCTCCCCCCTTTCCTTCCCTGTGTCTTCCTAGAGGAGTGGAAAAATGGTCCCATGGACTGCAGTTTCTGTCCCGATGGCCAAGCCCAGGTGCACTTAGTGGATGGGGCTAGATGTCTTCCAAAATTTCTATTGTTATTGTTCAGAAAAACACAAAACACTTTGGTCAAGTATCTTGTTCTTTTAAATCTAAGTGACTCTCAAGAAAAATACAATGCCTGCTTTTGATTAGTTCACTCTCATCTCATTTTATCATAAGCATTATTTTTGTTTTGCTTGGAAAACCTAAGGAAACTTGCTTTTTCAAATTTTCGGGGGTAGAGATTTAGGTTTTATACTGAGAAGTGGCCTTTAAACAAAAGAAAACTCAGCGAATCCTTGCTTTGGGTCAGTACTAAAGCCACAGACCCAGAATCACTGCAGTATTTTCATATGACATTATTAATGTTCATTATGGTCATCCCACCCAGGAAGGTAGGCTCAGCGGTAGCTCACGGGCCCAGCCGCTCCGCGGCATGTGGGATCCTCCCGGACTGGGGCACGAACCCGTGTCCCCTGCATCGGCAGGCGGACTGCCAACCACTGCGCCACCAGGGAATCCCGTAATTCCCACTTTTAAAGCCACGTATTTCCCCTGAATGTCTCACCATCACCTTAAATGTGACATGTTTCAAAGCAAGTATTGTTTCCTTTCCCCGTGTTCCCTATTTACTTTGAGAATCAATCTGCCAACCAAGCAGAACTTGATTCAATCTTCCAAATAACGTATCTTTGCCAGAGGCCTCATGACTTTTTTCAACCAGCTTTGAAATCATATGTATGTATATAGCCTTGACCCCTCCTCCTGCCTCGGCTCACACCTAAGCTCTGCCAATCCTCAGCCCTTCCCCTTGGGGAGTCTTGTTTATTTCTCCTGTTGCAGCCACTGCTCCATCCCTTGCCCCATTCCTGGGTTTGGCAGCATTGCTGATAGGGTTTAAGCCGCTATATATGCCTGGATGAGACCAGGGCTTAAATCTGAGTGTAAACAGGAGTTAAGTAGGCAGAGGGTGAGTTAGGAAGAATGTCTGAAGCAGAAGGAATAGTCCGTCACAAACCTTGAAGTGGAAGTTCTTTTCAGGAACTAAAAGCTAGTGTCAGAAAGAGTAAGTGAAGGGAAAGATGACGTGAAGTAAATTAAAATTAAAATAGCCTGGGGTCAGTTCATCTTGGGTCTTGCAGAATAGGTTAAGGATTTTGGCCTTATCCTTAGAATAATGGATAAACTAGTGCTTTTGGTTGAAATCTAATGTGATAGACACTTGTAGTTTTAAATTTTCTAGTAGCCATATTTCAAAAGGTAAAAAGAAATGGGAAAATTAATATCAATACTATATTTTAGTTAATTCCAAATATCGAAAATATTATCATTTCGGTATGTAATCAATATAAAAATTATTACTGTGGTTTTTAAAAATAATTATTTGAAATCCGGGATATATTCTTATAGATTTAAAATTTATTTTATACTTAGCGTGCATTTTAATTCGATGCTGAATTTTCAACAGTTAAGTGAAAAGTAATCTTTCTAACAATAAACCTGCGTCTAACAGAAAAGTATGTGACACTGATTCAGTTTTTCGACTTCAATTTCAATTAGCTAAATTTAAATACAATTAAAAATTTAGTTCCTCTGTCACACCGGCCATATAGCAAGTGTTCAGTGGCCGCGTGTGGCTGGAGGTTACCATATTGGACTGTGCCAGGAGGGCAACGGGAGGGTTTTAAGAGTCAAAGTGATGCAACCGATCTGCACTCCTAAAAGTTGATTCAGGCTTCTGTGAAGAGCATGGATTCGACTAGGTAAAGGACAGATGAGAGAAAGGATTGAGAAGGCCACTGCAGGAGTGCTGGCAGGAGATAATGATAGCCAGGTGCAGAGGAAGTGATGGTGGAAACAGGGAAAGGAAGAGATGCCAACAGTACTCCAGAAAGAGACTTCCCTTTGCTGTAACGGAATGTTGTTTTACTTGGACCTATCCTTCCCCTGACAAAAACAACATAAGCTGGGTAAGTGTGAAAACATCCTAAAGGCCATCCAAGAGCTCAGAAGACAGAAAGCAACCACCATACGAAAATTGCAAGGGAAAGCAGAAACCCAGGGAGGTAGAAAAGAAGACCAGCAGAGATAGTTTTCCCTGAAATCACTTGCCCATCCAGGTTCGCCAGGGCTCTGGTTTAGTGGCTTCTCTGTACGATGGGAGCCCTGGTCCCAGCTTTGGTGAGGAATTTTACACCAGACCCTCCTCATGTTATCCGCGGAGCCCCAAATGCCTATACTCACAACCTCCGAGTGAATCAGGGCCCCGCTGTACCCCTGTTTGCCACAGGAGACAGAATTAGAACTAACTTTGGCACCAAGCCAAGGAGGATTAAAAAAAAATCTGTCCCTGAAAAGTTGTGACCTTTTCTTTTGCACATTTTTAGCCCAAGTTCAGTTGTTGGGTCCTTACTTGTTCAACATGATTTAAGATGATCCCGAATTTTAGAGTTCCAAAGAACCAGGAAGAACCAAATACAAATATTTCTCCTCCTAGTCCCAAAAGCCTGCCTACAGATGATGTTTCAAAGACAATGAACATTAGAAGGTGAAAACAAAATCAAGCATAGAGAAAAACATGACAACCACTGTGAGGACTGAAAAAGAAAGAGAAGGTTAAAAAACAAGAAGGAAACAGAAACCAGTTTCAAATATTAGAGTGACCACATCTTTAGGCGTGACTTTGAAAATTCCTGGAAAGGAGGGTTTATACAGGAAGGGAGTACACAATTCGTGCTGAAGTTTGGCTCAGAAAGATGAATCGTTGGGTAAGCTCCATTTGGGGGAGGAAAGCAGTGCAGCTGGGCTCTATTTATCAGGCAGAAGAAATTCAACAACCATAAACCACAATCAATCACTAACAAATCCGTGCGATTCCTTACACCTTGCAGTTTTTATTGTTTTTTATCATTTTTATAATTTCACTTTTCTGGTTACTGTGGCTGCCTAACAAACCACTCCAAACTCAGTGGCACAGAATAACCATCGTATTACGCTCATGGACTCAGGGCAGGAATCAGGGCGAGACACAGTGGAGATGGCCTGTCTCTGCTTCTCAGTGGTTGGGTCCTCCGCTGAGGAAATGGAAGAGTGAGGATGCCTGGAAAGTGGGAACTTAGACTCATCTGAGGGCTTATTCGCCCCTGAGCTAGGTGCTAATTGGAGCACCTACAGGTGGCCTCCTTGTGTGGTTTGATATCCTCATTCACAGCCATGGTGGCCACAGAGTAGATGGACGTTTTACATGGTGGCTCAGTATACAGGGTGGCAGCTGCATCACTTTTACTAGCCTTGTCTGGGAAGTCACGCTGTGTCACTTCCGCTGAGTTCTACTGATCGCGAGCATGCCACAAGCCCGCCTACGTCACAAGCCAGGACACAGGCTTTGATGAGAGGAATATCCGGCCACATTGTAAAGGAGCCCTGAGGATGGATGGTGTTGTTGTGGCCATTTTTGAAAACTGCAGGCTGACACATTCATCTATTTCACTGCAGTGACTAGTAGTGAAACCTTTAAAATACATGATTTCGGGCTTCCCTGGTGGCGCAGTGGTTGAGAGTCCGCCTGCCGATGCAGGGGACGTGGGATCGTGCCCCGGTCCGGGAAGATCCCACATGCCGCGGAGCGGCTGGGCCCGTGAGCCATGGCCGCTGAGCCTGCGCGTACGGAGCCTGTGCTCTGCAAAGGGAGAGGCCACAGCAGTGAGAGGCCCGCGTACCGCAAAATAAATAAATAAATAAATAAAATAAAGTAAAATACATGATGTCTGTGTGGGAAAATTTGCCTTTGGGGGACACAAGGGAAATCACCCCATTACCTGCCCAGGCCATCAGACCTCCTGCAGAGGATGATCAAGAAAGCATCAGGGTTGGCCTGGGCTGAATACGTGACTTTGAAAATGAGTGCTAGGGAAGCGTGTGAGAGCCAGACAGGGCTGTGCCACCTTACTGGGACACGCCCCGGGACAGGGTGGAGGGCCTCCTGTGACCTTCCAAACCACTCACTTCTGCTTATTCGTACGACCTGAAGACCCTGCAACGCCCCCCTAGTGGTCTTCACATCCTGAGTAATAAACGCAGGGCATCTTGCAAAAGTAAAATCCATCTCACTAAGCTGGGAGAGCTTGTTTGGCAGGAGACCTACTGATGTGATCGGGAGGAATTTACAATTAAAAATCAGGCAAATGGGGAGATGTGAGTCAAACGTGTAAAACAGGGGCCTTGAATGGAAAGAATACATAACCCTGTGACTTCCGACGGACGTCCCAGAGAGTCTGGGATGACAAAGAAATCGATCCTTTGAATGAAAAGTCATAAAGCTGAGCACCAGCCGGTCTCTGGCTCCCTCCCTCCTGCCCTGTTTCCTACAAACACTCTCTTTTTCCAGAATCTGTTTTGTTTTCCAGTGAAGGACTTAGGGAAACTGATACTTAGCTGCTTTTCCCTTGTTAAACAGATCATGCCTATTTTCACCCTTAAATTTTTGAGATTCTTCTGCTAGGGGAAGTTGAAGAGCTGCCCAGACATTGGAGAGGAAGGCAGTTGCCAGGATAATATGTAACCAGTTGCAGCAAGGGTGGGCCCCTTAAGTGGCCACACTTGTGGTAACCCATCCCTGCACTGGTCACAGGGGAGAGCTGAAGAAGCCAAGGTCAGCCATGTCCTCCGGTAGCAGGGTCACTGCTGGATAAAGCAGGTACAAGCCACGTTGTGTGCCCTGCCCCTCCTCCCAAGCTTCGTGCAAGACCTCAACACACAAAGAAATACATGACAGCTGAAGAGAGGAAATTAGCCTAATCACAAGAAAATAGAAAGACTAAACCAGGAGAATATCCCTGCCAACTGAGAGATCATTTTCCAATAGTATGAGCGGCAGTTACCTAAAACAAAACTAGCACAGCAGTGCCATCTCATGGACGTTGCCAACCTCCAGGCCCTTTCTCCCCCCCCCCCCCCCC